TGAGCACAAGAAGCAGTTGTCAAGAAATAACTTTTCAATCTATATTTAAAAGTGCGTAGCTCCCAGTGGCGGTCTAATATCGGAAGGAAGAGCATTCCAGACGGTCGCAGAAACGCATCTGAAACACTCACACACTCGCGATGTGGTGACCGATGGCCAGCCAAAAGCCGCTGCTGTGAGGATGACTGGAGTGTTGATCGACACAACACAACTACGAGATGAATGATTGCACATAGGTGTGTGTTAGTCACGGAGGAAATATCGTTATCACGTTATTTTAACTCGACATTTAAGGCGGTGACGTGGCACAGTCGTTGCGCTATGCACTCAGTGACTGGATTCCAAGCCATATTCAATGACGTTAAAGTGATATCTAAGTAAGTAGGGAAATAAAACTCAGCTTTATAGAGCGCCATTCCCACAAGGCCTCACGGTTGCTCTACAACACAATGCCGCTAAAAACCCTTAAACATGAAACTAAGAGGAAAACAAGCCTACACAGATGGATATGCAAGGGAACATTTAAATAAGTATACAGAAAATGAAGCCAAAAGACGACAAAGATGAAGACGAGTGGAGCAGGAGCGGCAAATAAGTCCGCCAGCGTCCCCCACGCCCACTCACAGGTTGTCGCCAACCTGAACAGACCCTGGGCCTCCACCCCTTCGTTAACCTGAACAGACCCTGGGTGTCCGCCCCTTCATCAACCTGAACAGACCCTGAGTCTCCACCCCTTCATCAACCTGCACAGACCCTGGGTCTCCACCCCTTCATCAACCTGAACAGACCCTGAGTCTCCACCCCTTCGTCAACCTGAACAGACCCTGGGTGTCCGCCCCTTCATCAACCTGAACAGACCCTGAGTCTCCACCCCTTCATCAACCTGAACAGACCCTGGGTCTCCACCCCTTCATCAACCTGAACAGACCCTGGGTCTCCACCCCTTCGTCAACCTGCACAGACCCTGGGTCTCCACCCCTTCATCAACCTGCACAGACCCTGAGTCTCCACCCCTTCATCAACCTGAACAGACCCTGGGTCTCCACCCCTTCATCAACCTGCACAGACCCTGGGTCTCCACCCCTTCGTCAACCTGAACAGACCCTGGGTCTCCACCCCTTCATCAACCTGAACAGACCCTGGGTCTCCACCCCTTCATCAACCTGCACAGACCCTGGGTCTCCACTCCTTCATCAACCTGAACAGACCTTGGGTCTCCACCCCTTCGTCAACCTGAACAGATCCTGGGTCTCCACCCCTTCGTCAACCTGAACAGACCCTGGGTCTCCACCCCTTCGTCAACCTGAACAGACCCTGGGTCTCCACCCCTTCATCAACCTGAGCAGACCCTGGGTCTCCACCCCTTCGTCAACCTGAACAGACCCTGGGTCTCCACCCCTTCGTCAACCTGAACAGACCCTGGGTCTCCACCCCTTCGTCAACCTGAACAGACCCTGGGTCTCCACCCCTTCGTCAACCTGAACAGACCCTGGGTCTCCACCCCTTCGTCAACCTGAACAGACCCTGGGTCTCCACCCCTTCGTAAACCTGCACAGACCCTGGGTCTCCACCCCTTCGTCAACCTGAACAGACCCTGGGTCTCCACCCCTTCATCAACCTGCACAGACCCTGGGTCTCCACCCCTTCATCAACCTGAACAGACCCTGGGTCTCCACCCCTTCGTAAACCTGCACAGACCCTGGGTCTCCACCCCTTCATCAACCTGCACAGACCCTGGGTCTCCACCCCTTCATCAACCTGAGCAGACCCTGGGTCTCCACCCCTTCGTCAACCTGAACAGACCCTGGGTCTCCACCCCTTCGTCAACCTGAACAGACCCTGGGTCTCCACCCCTTCGTCAACCTGAACAGACCCTGGGTCTCCACCCCTTCGTCAACCTGAACAGACCCTGGGTCTCCACCCCTTCGTCAACCTGAACAGACCCTGGGTCTCCACCCCTTCATCAACCTGAACAGACCCTGGGTCTCCACCCCTTCATAAACCTGCACAGACCCTGGGTCTCCACCCCTTCGTCAACCTGAACAGACCCTGGGTCTCCACCCCTTCGGTAACCTGAACAGACCCTGTGTCTCCACCCCTTCATAAACCTGAACAGACCCTGTGTCTCCACCCCTTCATCAACCTGAACAGACCCTGGGTCTCCATCCCTTCGTAAACCTGCACAGACCGTGGGTCTCCACACCTTTGTCAACCTGCACAGACCCTGGGTCTCCACCCCTTCATCAACCTGAACAGACCCTGGGTCTCCACCCCTTCGTCAACCTGAACAGACCCTGGGTCTCCACCCCTTCGTCAACCTGAACAAACCCTGGGTCTCCACCCCTTCGTAAACCTACACAGACCCTGGGTCTCCACCCCTTTGTCAACCTGCACAGACCCTGAGTCTCCATCCCTTCGTCAACCTGAACAAACCCTGGGTCTCCACCCCTTCGTCAACCTGCAGACCCTGGGTCTCCACCCTTTCGTCAACCTGAACAAACCCTGGGTCTCCACCCCTTCGTCAACCTGCACAGACCCTGGGTCTCCACCCCTTCGTCAACCTGCACTGACCAGCAGGTGAAGTCTGTGGCCAAGCAACCCCCACGGTTGCCGTGGCATTGGGCTGCCTTCATCAAGCAGATTGCCAAAATGTCTCTAAACCGGCGGTTCTTCACCTTTACTGCAGCCTTGCACCCCTTTGGTTCTCAATCCTTTAAAAATGTATGTTAATAAATACATAGGGTTTGATGAAACAAATTAAGTTGTACTTACGTGCCCGTGTTTAATTTGTGTTTCGATCGTTTACCGTCTAAAAAATTCCGTCCATTTCTTACACCCCCAGAAAGGGCATCACGCATCCCCCAGGGGGTGCAGCGTGCACCCCAGGTTAAGAAGAACCACTGCTCTAACTGTTCATATTATCTCTTCTTTGTTGATCCACTACAGCGAGCACTTTCATAGGACACCTTACTCGTCATGGTGATGCCCTCCCCCGCATGATCACAACAGGACATTTGCATTTGAGATGTAGAGTACAAAACTAATTGAACCTTAGGCAGCGGATAATTTGTCTTAAAACTGGACTTGAAAACGGGGAGTCATCAGTACGGACAGACGGGGAGAAGGGAGCTCGTGGACAACGGGGAAGGAGAAAACGAGCCGAGCAGAGATTGGCGAGAGTGTCCGCACAAGGTCTCGGTTGATGTGGCAGAGGGCACGGGGAGCGAGCAGAGTGAGACACAGATTCGAGTGGTGCACAGGGACGAGGCGTGGAGAATCTCGAATTATATAAAAAATATTTGAGATGATTCACAATTGGATTGGAAGCCAGTGGAGGAGATATGGACATCGGGGTGATGTGGTCTCATTTACAGGTATTCCTTAGGAGAGGGTGCCACGGTCGAGAGATGTTAACTACCTCGCCTGGTAAGCAGGAGGTCGTCGGTTCGATCCCCACCCAGAAGCCTCAAAGTTTGGAGTTTGCATGTTCTCCCTCTGGTCGCGTAGATTTTTCTCCAGGTCCTCAAGGTTTTTCCCTCCACATTTAGAAACATGCGTTTTGAGTATTTGGCTGCTATTAATGTCCACATGATGATGATAAACAACTCCGTTGAGCTATAATTTGTGGCCTGGTTGCTTCTGAAAAATAGCCGTATAGCTCAGTGAGCCGTACCTGGCTAAATAAAAATAGTATTTTAAAAAACGTCTTGTTGGAGTGTTTTGCATCCTTTGGTATTTGGAAGTAAGGAATTTGGGCAAGTCCTAAAGGAGACATTCATAATAGTCGAGATGAGATGTGATGAAGGCATGAAGGAATGTGTCCTTCAGCACAGGGGTCCAGCAAGTGCTGGATGCTCGCGGGTGGAGGCGTTGCGACTGATTGTGTGTGCTCAGCGTTGAGAGAATGCTGCAGAGAGAGAGGGAGGGAGAGAGCCTTCCGGGTCAAGGGATTTTGATGTTGAAGCGAATATCTTTATTTTAGATGTTTTTATTATTATTGTGATTAACTAAAAATGGGGCAGCTTAAGTGCAGAATTTTTGCCGCGCCGTGCAACTTTGTGACTACGTCGATTGGAACGGACAGAAAGTTCAACCGTGTGAGGCTCAATGTGCGATGTCATCTTAAAGATTGAGTTTGCGGAAGGGATAATTCCACTGATGTGCAGCAGAGGGATGGTACAAATGCCACTACTTACAGTCTACTTGGACTGGTTCGTGTCTTTTCTTTGCAGAAAGAGGCCCCGTGAGTATTGGAGCAGATACAAAAAATAATTATAACATAGAGGAAGCTGATTTGTCTCTATCTTATAGTTAACATTGGAGTGTTTTGTTTTGTTTCTAATAAATCGCATTTTTTATGACTTCAGCTCCATGGGAACCCAGAAATGAAGCCGCGTGACTTCTCCGTACATCAATCATGAACTGTTGTGAAATGCTCTACACAACATATACAAGGCGTCATCATATCCACAACAGCTTTGCTGGTGACGATCAAGTACACTTTACAACTGGAAAATTGTTCCGGCGCTGGAAAACTGTATATCGGGCTCAGTGCATATCACTATTGTTATAATTATAGATCCGCTTGTTTACTCGGTAAAGCCTCATTGAGTCTCAATAATCTTTTTTTCAGGAGGGTCCTGCCAGGTTTTCACAGTATGGAGTGATGTTGTTGCCGCTACTGCTGCTGTGTGTAATCCCAATTGAGAAAATGACAGGTATTGTTTTAGCAATGGGATGCGTGGGAGAAAATTGGAGAACCTAGAAGATACCCATAGGGAACAGCGGGAGGGGGAGGGAGAACAAACTTCACGCAGAAAGGTGCCCGGGTCCGGGAATTGAACCCAGGTGCTCCTTGCTGCGAGGCACACCCTGCCGCGCTGAAGCGACATTTTCATCTGTGTAGAGTTCTCGTCGGGTGCCGCGTTCTCATGCCTCGTCAGTCATCGGCCATTGTGAAAGGGCAGTTGCCCGAGTCATGGGAAAAGCAAGCCTCCTACCTTGTCGTGGTGAAGATCGTGTAAATCACCGGATTCTTCGCATCCCTGGTTTGCAGCAGGTACACGTCCTCTGCAATGAAACCAACCCGCCACAAATGCCTCAGCGAAACTTCGTAGTAGTAATAATAACAAAGCAGCACTTGCTGCACTCTATCGCGGCTACGGTGGTTTGCACACACCTGGGACTTGTTCGTCGAATGAATGCCGTGCGCATTACACTGCAGCCACGAATGTTGCCATCATAATGTTGATGATGGCTTGGAGGGAAACTTTATACCCAAGTGGCCCCTCGGGGCCTTACCCCCTTACATACGTCTGCGGCTCTATAGAGCGCCGATTCAGTTACAGGAGAGGATAGTTATTTGAGATACATTCTATTGAAAATGTGTTTCTTTAAAACTGCAGTGAATGTGAGAACGCACAGATGGATGAATAAGCGAGTACATTAAACGTGATGTCCCGACAGAGTAACTGCACGTTTTCATGGGAAAATTGCGAACACTTTTTTTATTAAACTTTTAGCAATGTTCCAATTATGTTTTACAAAGGGCACTGAGGAAAATGAGTGGGATAAGAGTAAAAATTAAACACTATAAAAAGGTTGCAAATATATATTGGGAATCAGTAAACATGATTTTTATTTGCAACCCCACATAAAAGTTTGAATACATTTTTTATTCTCCCATTTTTTTAATTAAAAAAACTCAATATGTGGACTGGGAAATATGTTTAATTAAAGAGGTAAGGTTTTAAAATATGCCATGTGAGCCACAATCAATCAATGCAAGGGGCTAAACCCCAGACTGGTGTAAAGATCACGATTGCGCACTGAGTGGCTTTCTTTGTCTGACATGAAGAGAAATGCGCGGGTGGAAATTTAATTCCGAGCTATTTATGGGTTGTGCTTGGACCACGTATGTTACGTTATATTTTTCCATCCAAAAAAATAATGTAAATGGAGATTCAAGATATGAACAGTTACCAGATGGTAAGGGCAAAACCATTTTTCTTTTGTGGAGGTGCTTTTAATGTAACATTTCGATGACAGGATAACTATTGTGTGATAGTTTTACAAATTAAAACACGTACAGTCGTGAACGCACGCGATTTTTAAAGTCAAAACATACGCAGCCTCTTTCTGTCTGCCATTCTGGAATTGGAGCATATTTAACGTTGTATTTAAATGACTCAAATTATATTATAACTGCGGAACTTGTAAAACAATAAATCACCGCAACTATCATTATCAGGAAATTATATCGGAACTGGCCATCGGCCCCTCGATCACCAACCGGCATTGGTGAAGTATGGTCAAACAACCCCCGTGATTGACATAGCAAGGGGTAGCTTTTCATCCAGCAGTGGATCAACAAGGGCCTGTGACATCCTTTACTGCTACTAAGTTTTGCTGGCTGAGTGGCCGAGGCTCGCGGGAGGTGGCGGCAGTTTGGCGCGAGACAATCGGCGAAACGCTTTAAACCCTCGCTTCGCCGCTCACTCACGCAGTTCGTCAAAATGGGTGTCGATGCCATCAGGGCCCGGCACGGAGCACACGAGCCGCGCCTTGAGGAACGTCGTCCACTTGTTGATCAGGCTCTTCTGCCCTCCCACGTCGTTCTATGGACACAGGCGCACACACACACAGGTCCTCCCCCATATAGCTTATTAATAGACTGCTGGGGCAAGTGCTGTTAGCGAGTAGCGCACGAGGGGGGTGGGTGGCCAGCACCACGCCCGACCGCCTTTGTCTCCGCAGTGCTGATGTTTTACACACCGCGCAACCGGTACTCTTTTGAAGCTGAGTCGACCAAAGGGAGGCCCAGGCAGAGTTCAGATAATCGTCACTAGTTTTGGCCGTGAGCAGGAATCGAACTCGAGTTGCCGGGATTCTAACAAAGACAAAAACGCTGCACGTTGATCATTTTTGTCTTTAATTTCCAGGTAATAAAATAAACTTCCTTCCATTTCTCTACTTAAAATAAAACATATTTTAGTCCATAATTGTAATGGTACGTGGAAAACAGGTGGGAGTTTGTTTAATTGCACACAATGCTCAGTTTACACAGCACTCATCCCATTATGGGGCCACATCAAACACCAGTGGCGAGTGGTTGCTGTATCTGGACAGCGCTCACAACAACGATCGGAGCGCCGGACGGATAAAACACAGCCAGTTGGCACAGTAGGGGCACAGGTCAGTCATCTCAGTCAGTCGACCCGTGGCACCTGGGTCTGTCCCGTGGCCTCCTGCCAGCGGGCCTTCGACACTACAAGTGGCCTTAAAGTGCACCTAGCCTGGTATAAGCGCCATGGTGGCATCACCGCCACTTAGTGGCGAATGGCGGTTGTTGTTGTTGACCAGCGCTCGGGTTGGTGACGATGGCACAACGGGCAGCCATAGGCCGCGGGGCTACGTGGTGGGCAGCAGAGGGCAGTGTAGCGCTGTGCGGTACTTCAACACGGAGTTGGCTTTCCCGACCAATATTATCCATGAGTTTGTTTATTGGGTTAGATTGCGTAAATATAAATGCGTCGTTAAACCCACCACCACCAGTCACAGCCAATTCGTAAGGTTTGTCACGCTAACAAAGCGTGCCAATTCGTTACTAGTTCAGGACTCCGGTGTGTTGGAGACTACACTGTTCAGTACTCCTTTACTTACCCATCTCCGTGGCCTCTGCCTTCACCATCCCACACTGACCAGTGTGGTGAAGTATGGTCAAATTAATGGTACGGCTGACAGGACGCGGGAGGCCTTCGTGCAGCAGTGGATTGACAAAGGGCTGTGTGCACGTGACACAATGTAACTCTACAGGCTCACAGACCGCCGTGCGAGAAGGCACGGAGTGCAAAAGCAGCGGTTAACGGAGTCGACGGTCCGCGCAGCATTCCTCGGCGCTTGCTCTCCTCGCCCATTGAACCTCCCCCCGAGTTGTTTCTGATTTCATTTCTCATTCTACCTGATCTCGTCACTCCCCCCGAGTCGTCTTCCGTAAAGCGGTGCCATCGCCACGGGCGGTTTCACGAGCAGCGAGGGTCTGCGTGAACTCACCCGGCACACCTGCCCGATGCGCGAGTACACCGCCTTGCCCGGGTGCTCCGACTCCATCGCCGTTTCGCGGAAAAAGAAGTAGACCTTGTCGTCGTCCTCGTAGCCATTGCTCTCGGGGACTCTGTGCGCTGCGATGAACTTCGGCTCTGGAACAAACATTTGCATTGAACGTCAGTGCAACACGCAGCCAATAATATTCTATAATAAAGGGGCTTTTTTTTGTTGGATCGCGTGAATATAAATGTGTCGTTAAACCCGCCACCACCCGGCGTGGCCAACCATTAAAGGTTTGTCACGTAAAACAAAACGTACCAATTGGTTACTCGTTCAGCACTAACCGGTTGTGCATTGGAGAATAAAGCCACGACATTTACAATTCGAGTAGAGTGACGTTTCGCCGGTAATTACAACCAGCCTCGTCAGGCGACAGCGGCTGTTGTGGAGAAATCTTCCTCCTGTTTGGTTTCACGTTAGGCCACAACAAGTGCAGGCAGGGACGAACTCTGCGTATGAACGGCCGGTAGATCGCACGCTACACGGGAATCGCGTTATTTGCAAAATGGTAATAAAAAATGTTTCAATTATACAAGGACGGAAAAGTCCGAAATTGCAGCACCACAATTGCGTGCCCATGCCACCCATGCTAGATCGGGGTTCTATAAAACCACTCTCAAGAGGGTACTTGGCCTACTCTTCCATGCTGGCCAAACGTCTTGGAAAATGTGGCAGGAACCAACGCTCCTACCCCACCGCACGTGCCCTGCCGAGAGTGTAACTGTGGTATTATACAAAGCAAACCAGTATTCACGTGTGATTATAATCTCGTCCATGAGAGCTGGATTATTCTGAATTATGTGGTGAGGGGGAAGAAGAAGAAGAAACCCAACAATGACATGACGACGTTTCATGCAATCGCTTTGTAAACCGGCTAAGTTATCAACTCGCTACGCTAAGGGCTGTCCGGAGCTGAAGCCACCATCTCGGCAGCGACAGCTCGGTTCCAGCCCCCCAGCCCCCTGCCAGGGCACTCGCCCACCGCGACGTCCACCGCAGCTTTGACTCTCGTGCAGAGGTGACACTCGTGCAGAGGTGACACTCGTGCAGAGGTGACTCTCGTGCAGAGGTGACTCTCGTGCAGAGGTGACACTCGTGCAGAGGTGACTCTCGTGCAGAGGTGACACTCGTGCAGAGGTGACTCTCGTGCAGAGGTGACACTCGTGCAGAGGTGACTCTCGTGCAGAGGTGACACTCGTGCAGAGGTGACTCTCGTGCAGAGGTGACTCTCGTGCAGAGGTGACACTCGTGCAGAGGTGACTCTCGTGCAGAGGTGACTCTCGTGCAGAGGTGACACTCGTGCAGAGGTGACTCTCGTGCAGAGGTGACTCTCGTGCAGAGGTGACTCTCGTGCAGAGGTGACTCTCGTGCAGAGGTGACTCTCGTGCAGAGGTGACACTCGTGCAGAGGTGACACTCGTGCAGAGGTGACACTCGTGCAGAGGTGACTCTCGTGCAGAGGTGACACTCGTGCAGAGGTGACTCTCGTGCAGAGGTGACTCTCGTGCAGAGGTGACTCTCGTGCAGAGGTGACTCTCGTGCAGAGGTGACTCTCGTGCAGAGGTGACTCTCGTGCAGAGGTGACACTCGTGCAGAGGTGACTCTCGTGCAGAGGTGACACTCGTGCAGAGGTGACACTCGTGCAGAGGTGACACTCGTGCAGAGGTGACTCTCGTGCAGAGGTGACACTCGTGCAGAGGTGACTCTCGTGCAGAGGTGACTCTCGTGCAGAGGTGACACTCGTGCAGAGGTGACTCTCGTGCAGAGGTGACTCTCGTGCAGAGGTGACACTCGTGCAGAGGTGACTCTCGTGCAGAGGTGACACTCGTGCAGAGGTGACTCTCGTGCAGAGGTGACACTCGTGCAGAGGTGACACTCGTGCAGAGGTGACTCTCGTGCAGAGGTGACACTCGTGCAGAGGTGACTCTCGTGCAGAGGTGACTCTCGTGCAGAGGTGACTCTCGTGCAGAGGTGACTCTCGTGCAGAGGTGACTCTCGTGTAGAGGTGACACTCGTGCAGAGGTGACACTCGTGTAGAGGTGTCTCTCGTGTAGAGGTGACACTCGTGCAGAGGTGACTCTCGTGCAGAGGTGACTCTCGTGCAGAGGTGACACTCGTGCAGAGGTGACTCTCGTGCAGAGGTGTCTCTCGTGTAGAGGTGACACTCGTGCAGAGGTGACACTCGTGTAGAGGTGTCTCTCGTGCAGAGGTGACACTCGTGCAGAGGTGACTCTCGTGCAGAGGTGACACTCGTGCAGAGGTGACTCTCGTGCAGAGGTGACACTCGTGCAGAGGTGACACTCGTGCAGAGGTGACACTCGTGCAGAGGTGACACTCGTGTAGAGGTGTCTCTCGTGCAGAGGTGACACTCGTGCAGAGGCACAAGGGTGCCACCCCTGGAGGACATGGCCACCGCGGTGAGATCGTCCAACATTACAACAAATAGTAACAGCTACGGCTATTTAAGTACACACGATCAACAGGAGCTACGAAAACAATGGGCGTGCATAATGTACATGCATAATGTGCATGCAATGTACGTTGATTACAATATAAATAACCCAATTGATACCCATCGCTCAAGGAGTGCTCACAAGTTATGCCATCACATCTACAGCCCTCTAATTAAGGAACGAAACAGGAGGATTTCTCTACAAATCTGGCTGTCGCCTGATGAAGCTAGTTGTAATAACTGGCGAAACGTCGTACTCAGATTGTAAATGTTGTGGCTTTGCTCTCCAACACACCGGTTAGTGCTGTACTAGTGACGAATTGGCCACGTTCTGTTTACGTGACAAACCTTACTTCTTGGTTGTCAGGTGGTGGCGAGTTAAACGACACATTTATATATTTACGCAATCTAACCCAAAAAACCTGCATTATGGATTACAAAAAATATTCACACTAAACCCATAGTCATTTTTGCTGCTCCGTGTGACACTGGCAGATCTGTCGCAGCAAGGGACGTCGAGCGGACCTCTGCCGGCGCTCGTGCCGTAGGGCCAGCATGCGGAACGTGTCTAAGAGTGCGCGTGCGAGAAGCGCAACGCGTATGATTGCATTTACATTCAACTGAGACGTGTTGCTCGTGAATTCGATATCCAGATGTAGCGCATCATATATTACGTGCATCGGTAATGGAAGGATGAATATTTCAAGTGAAGCACTATTTGTTAGATATTCTGACACGTGTTTGCTAGTTATTTCCTTGTGGTGTTTACGTGCAATTGTTCAGCCACGCAGGGAATACTACTCCTGGAAAGACTCTGTACCCTACTGGAATACATATATGCCACGTAATCTCCAGCAAACACAATGTACACAATATAATTTATTAAGTTCTGTTGTCGTTACTGAACGATGTAATGCCTTCCTCAGATAGGGGCATCGCACAAGCCACTTGTTCTTTCTAAGAACACCATCACCACAACAGTGACAAACATCAGAGGAAAGACCTCGTAGAGCTGATCATGCGGACCCTGACCCGAGTTCAGGACCCACTGTAAAACGAGATCAATAACTGACGTGTGACCGGTTCCCATGAGGGTGGGAGTGTGCTGCGGGCCACAGCGGATGCGCGCCGGGCACCCAGTCACCCTCCCCACCACTGACGGTCACAGGGTCTAGCCCCGGGAGTCGGCGATTGGCGCGATAACAACCCCGCCGCGGTGGTGTGACCCCGAACGTCGCAGCGTTATCTTGGGTCGGCTGTGACGAGGCTAATCCCTGCCGAGTCCTTAGAGGATACACTGACGCTGGCCAACAGCGGAGGCTTTGCCTTCCACGTTCGCCCCCATCTATTCCCCAATGGCTGCGTCGCGTGCGGTGCACACACTTCTTCTCTGCCACGAGGAACTCTATTTCCATATTGAGCGCAACGCGTGCTCCCTCCTGCGCCCACCTCGGTCGCCAAGCGTGCAGGAGCCGCCTCCTGGTCCTCTGAGAGAGTCAATAAATTCGAGAGTGGCTTTCTGGTGCCTCACGTTGCTCTTCCTGCTCCTCCTGCCTGTCATGTTCACTCCGCATCACCACCTACCCTCGACATCCCACATCCTCTCGTCATAACTAAATCACAATCGAAGGGAAGTCGTCTTTAATTCTGCGACGCTTGTGTCCAGGTAAACAAAATATCTCGAGCGACGTAAACTGTACCGTTTCAATATTTAAGATCGCAATCATGAAGCACGTGACCAAAACTCGTAATTTGATTGAATTTACATTTTTTCTAAATCTTCTAATGGCAGCTGGATTTAGTAGTTTAATCAATCAAAGCTTTATATGATTAGAATACTCTGATAATATGGTCCACCACTTCCATAAAAATAGTATTCGGTTAAATTGCATGTACGTTCAATTCATTAATACGGGTGTTAGCGTGGCTATGTGCAGATCTCAAGTTTAATAATGGCATTTGTACAGGATCTACGCAGGATTTGCAGGGTTTGACGCGGCACTAAATGGCACACGACTGTATTATGTGTCTTTGACCCGGGTCAAGTATTAATATAGCTTGTAATGTTGCACACGACGAGATGTCCACGCGTATTCCATGTCTTATTAGCTCCGATAGGTTCTACATTCATTGCTCCGATAAGTTCCAGATTCATTGCAATGGAAGCTATTGTAATAGCTATTGCTACAAAACCACTAATTATCAGATCCGGATTTTTATTTCCAGAACAAGTTCACAGCCAAATTTAATTTGATGTGGTTTTTTGTGCGGTCATTGGTAACTAGGCTGAGCCCATCAATAATCTCTGCACTATTATCATTATTATGAATGCGCTTTGTTGCCAAGGGGTGTTTTTTTCTTCCGCGGCATGTTGCGACGTTGCCTCGCGAAATCTCAAACAAGTAATTTGCTGGTCGTTTTTCAGCACCAGTTACAGTGCATCATCACCTCAGCTACGGGAGGGCGAACCAGAGAACCTGTAGGAAGAACGATGCAAAACAGGGGGAGAACACACAAACTTTCAGACGGAAATGAGCTCTCATCGAGAATCGAACCCAGGCGATTCTTGCTGCGAGCCGCCCTGCCGCCCATGAAACACGAATCAGTCGAGCTTCTGTTAGGACGGCAGCAGTGTCCCAACTGGTGTCGCTGTGAGCATTCACCAGCAGCAGCACCATCATCAGCAAAATGAACTGCAGCACCAGCAGCAGCACCAGCAGCACCAACAAAACCAGCAGCATGAACTGCTGCATCAGCAGCAGCAGGACCAGCAGAACCAGCACCAGCAGCACCAGCAGCATCAGCAGCAGCAGAACCAGCAGCATGAACTGCAGCACCAGCAACGCCAGCAGTACCAGCAGCAGCACCAGCAGCAGCACCAGCAGAACCAGCAGCATGACCTGCTGCATCAGCAGCAGCAGAACCAGCACCAGCAGCACCAGCAGCACCAACAGAACCAGCAGCATGAACTGCTGCATCAGCAGCAGGCCCAGCAGAACCAGCACCAGCAGCAGCATCAGCAGCAGCAGCCGCCTTACCGCTCAGCCAGCGCGAGTCGTGCTGCTCCGTGCGAACGGGCATCCTGTGGCCCAGCGTGCGCACGATCGCGAAATCACGGCCCATGAAGTCCGAGGTGACCCCGGCGTACAACTCCTCTCCTGCAAGCGACGCGGAGGGAAGTTCGCCTTCGCAAATCGCTCGACCAAACCACCGGCGTCGTCGGCGGCGCCCGAAGCGTTCTCCATTCTTGAATTCAAATGTGGATGACCGTCGGGTGCTTTGCATTCCGTTATTTTGTGAAGCGAGAAACGAGGCGTCGGGATTCTGTGGGCACAGCCACGGGGAGTTTGTCGTCCAGCCCACGGCGCGCTGTTAGCGTCGACTCGTCAGCGGTGCGTTGGTGGGCTGCCCCACGTGAACCTGTGCTTTGACCTTAACAAAAGCGTGTACTCGATTCGTTACACTAATGATTATTTTTTTTTATCTGCAAATCATTACATGTGTAGGCATTCAATTGCCGATGAAAGTCACATGTCCGCTGCGTCCGCGTGACGTTCCGACCGACGGGACTGTAAAGCGTGTGACACCGGCGCTTGCCGCAAAACGTGCACTGCGACTTGTGGTGAGAAACAAAGTGCGGCGGTGAGACATATGGCAGCAGCAGCCAGGTGCGAGCCAGGCAGCCGTGCCGGATAGCCACGGCGGGCAGCCGTGGCAGGCAGCCGTGCCGGGCAGCCGTGCCGGGCAGCAAACCAGGGGGGAGCCGCTGTGTTCACACCCCAATTTGGCTTTGATTTACCCAGGAATCACCAAATAGATGACTGCAATGTAGCGATTACTGTCACGTTCATGTCATGACGAGGGTTGTTGGGGAACACATTCAATTCAACGTACTGCTGCATGAACTTAGTAATTAAAATTGTTTTTGCAGCACAAGTTAATCAGTATACCCCTTCCTGCAATCACCAGAAGACAAATCCTGGAGCGATGACTGTTGTTTGGCCTCATGAGTGCCAATATTTAATATCCTGGATAGCAACTAAATTGCACTTACCTACGAGAGTAGATGCGGTCAGCTGGTTGGGGTCATAGGGGCTTTTCCCTCGCCCACTCTCCAGGGAATGCCGCTCGAGGCTGAACTGCTGGTCCTGCACGGAATACGGTGCAAGTGAATCACGGCACGGAACCACAACACGGCACGGAACCACAACACGATATGGAACAACAACACGGCACGGAACAACAACACGACACGGAACAACAACACGATATGGAACAACAACACGGCACGGAACAACAACACGATATGGAACAACAACACGATATGGAACAACAACACGATATGGAACACAACACGATATGGAACAACAACACGATATGGAACAACAACACGATATGGAACAACAACACGATATGGAACAACAACACGATATGGAACACAACACGATATGGAACAACACCACGATATGGAACAACAACACGATATGGAACAACAACACGATATGGAACAACAACACGATATGGAACAACAACACGGCATGGAACAACAACACGATATGGAACAACAACACGATATGGAACAACAACACGATATGGAACACAACACGATATGGAACAACACCACGATATGGAACAACAACACGATATGGAACACAACACGATATGGAACAACACGATATGGAACAACACGGCATGGAACAACAACACGATATGGAACACAACACGATATGGAACACAACACGATATGGAACAACAACACGATATGGAACAACAACACGGTATGGAACACAACACGATATGGAACAACAACACGATATGGAACAACAACACGATATGGAACACAACACGATATGGAACAACACGATATGGAACAACAACACGGCATGGAACAACAACACGATATGGAACAACAACACGATATGGAACAACAACACGATATGGAACACAACACGATATGGAACACAACACGATATGGAACAACAACACGATATGGAACAACAACACGATATGGAACAACAACACGATATGGAACAACAACACGATATGGAACAACAACACGATATGGAACACAACACGATATGGAACAACAACACGATATGGAACAACAACACGGTATGGAACACAACACGATATGGAACAACAACACGATATGGAACAACAACACGATATGGAACACAACACGATATGGAACACAACACGATATGGAACAACAACACGATATGGAACACAACACGATATGGAACACAACACGATATGGAACAACAACACGATATGGAACAACAACACGGCATGGAACACAACACGATATGGAACAACAACACGATATGGAACAACAACACGATATGGAACACAACACGATATGGAACACAACACGATATGGAACAACAACACGATATGGAACAACAACAACACGGTATGGAACAACAACACGGTATGGAACAACAACACGATATGGAACAACAACACGATATGGAACACAACACGGCATGGAACAACAACACGATATGGAACACAACACGATATGGAACAACAACACGATATGGAACAACAACACGGTATGGAACAACAACACGATATGGAACACAACACGATATGGAACAACAACACGATATGGAACAACAACACGGTATGGAACAACAACACGGTATGGAACAACAACACGATATGGAACACAACACGATATGGAACAACAACACGATATGGAACAACAACACGATATGGAACACGGTACAATTGCTGTTGTTGGTAATTAACCGACTGCTGTTTGGAGCATGGGCACACGGTGCCATCGTGGACTAGGAATCCACAGCGGACGTAGTGTGCACAAATGATGCTTCATTTAATCACGACAAGGATATATACTGTATACTGAGAAGACTTTACTGAAAATAACACTGGACTGGTTTTCTGTTGCTTCATTCTGCGTGTGGCCTGCGTGTCGGAACCCAGTGGTTACCCAGCGGGAACCCAGTGGTTACCCAGTGGTTACCCTGTGGTTACCCAGTGGTTTGGGTGCCCAGTGCGTACACAGTCAGTACCCAGTGGAATAAATGAAAACATCTCAATTAAATCACGACGTTTAAGGCGCAACACAGAAGAAGGACGCTTGTGTTGCGCCTGAAACGTCGTGATTTAATTTAGTTGTTTTCATTTATTTTATTTTATTTTTTACCTCCGTGACTTTACCGAAAAAACCAAAGAGTATGAATCTTTTCAGTCACGAAAGCTTCAAATCTCGAAGTCCCCAGTGGGTTACCCAGTGGTGTGCGTACGCACTGGGTCCCGACCAGCAAGCAGGAGCCATCTGTGAACACGGCCAACATCGCGTAGAAAAGTCTTTGAAATCGTTTCGTACAGTGCGTTGGCTCGTTACGGTTAAGAGGAATGGGCGAGGTAAAGGGGGCTTGATTAATTGCAGAAGACACAGACCCAAGCAATTAAAGCCAGTCAATTTGTAACCAGGCCAGGGAAATCGGGGAGGAGATGCAATTAGACTGCTTGGGGACAAAGCCGTCTAATTGGGTCAGGGAGGTGAGGTGGAGACACCGGGAGGGGAGGGGGACTGTGGCGTGAAGGGCAGGTAGGTTGGGTGAGGCGGCGTGCGTGTTGGGTAGGCAGTCAAATGTAACAATGCCGTGCGCATTGGGGGGTGAGCACGATGGGACGCGATGGGAGGGGTTGCGGACATGGGTGAGTGAGGAAAGTGATGGTAGTGTGGGCCGAGCAGAGAGGTGGCAAGGTAAGGTGATGGGTGCGTTGGGTAGGGAAGGGCTGGCGGCTTAAATTCACCCTGTCCACAGGATGGGCTGCCCTCTTGGTTTAAAAGTAAACTTGCCCTCGACCTTAAGTACACTTCACCAACATCAATGCGAGTGTTGTTATTCCCATCCGTACCCCCTGGGGGTTTGCGCACAGCGATTCGGAGCTGTTCCCGGGTGGGCGACTGTCCGAGAAAGAGGCTGCTACTCAAGGTGGGCGTAGCACCAGTACCGGATTAAGCGAGTGCGGGGACTGTAGCGTATGTTATAAAGGGGCCCTAAATAAATAAAACGCATAAATATTAAAACGTAAATTTTTAACTTGCATAGTAAGATAATTGTATTTTTTATTTGCTATACAGCCAGATAATACGACAAATCGATATTCTCAAACACCTAGTCGTTCATAAAAGTTGAAGGCAGTTTAGTACTATAGTAAAAGAGCAAGTGCAGAATCACTGAACTGGAATTGAAAGCTTGAAATCATTTAGTGCGGGGCCCGTAGCATATGCAGCTACTTTAGCTACTAGGATAATCCGGCACTGCGTAATACAGCAGCAACGCCAGAATCAGCAGCAGCAGCCACAATCAGCAGCAGCATCAGCAGCAGCAGCAACACCAGAATCAGCAGCAGCAGCAGCCAGAATCAGCAGCAGCAGCAGCAACGCCAGAATCAGCAGCAGCAGCCAGAATCAGCAGCAGTCAGAATCAGCAGCAGCAGCAGCCAGAATCAGCAGCAGCAGCAACGCCAGAATCATCAGCAGCAGCAGCCAGAATCAGCAGCAGCAGCCAGAATCAGCAGCAGCAGTCAGAATCAGCAGCAGCAGCAGCCAGAATCAGCAGCAGCAGCAGTCAGAATCAGCAGCAGCAGCAACGCCAGAATCAGCAGCAGCAGCCAGAATCAGCAGCAGCAGCAACGCCAGCGTCAGCAGCAGCAGCAAGAATCAGCAGCAGCAGCAGCCAGAATCAGCAGCAGCAGCAACGCCAGCGTCAGCAGCAGCAGCCAGAATCAGCAGCAGCAGCCAGAATCAGCAGCAGTCAGAATCAGCAGCAGCAACGCCAGAATCAGCCGCAGCAGCAGCCAGAATCAGCAGCAGCAGCAGCAACGCCAGCGTCAGCAGCAGCAGCAGCCAGAATCAGCAGCAGCAGCAACGCCAGCGTCAGCAGCAGCAGCAGCCAGAATCAGCAGCAGCAGCAGCAACGCCAGCGTCAGCAGCAGCAGCAGCAGCCAGAATCAGCAGCAGCAGCAGCAACGCCAGAATCAGCAGCAGCAGCAGCAGACAGAATCAGCAGCAGCAGCAGACAGCAACTGGTTGAGAAGCCCTTGGGCTGGAGCTCGCTGGTCTCCGTTGGCCACGAGGTTTTTATCCCCCAGATGTGGAAACTCTGAAACACGTCGGCACCGCTCACTGCGTCTTGCTGCGCGCGTTGCTATGTTTGATCTCTGGGAAGAAGCTGACATTGTGGTGAGTATATTTCAAGGTTGTTGGGTTGGTTATTTTTTTGTACGTGTATGTGCATTGTGGTATTAAATGCTCAGTTAAACTGGTCTCGAAGCTGTCAGTGATTAAGATTCCCTTGGTTTGCAAACTCGCTGATGTTTTTTTAACCCACCACTAATCCTTAAGAATCCAGAGTGTTTTGGTCTGACTCTACGGGCCTGAGGCATTAACAGTGGACCCCACATTAACACTGGACGCTACATTAACACCGGACCCCACATTAACACTGGACCCCACATTAACACTGGGCTCTACATTAACGTTGGACCCCACATTAACACTGGATCCCACATTAACACTGGACCCACATTAACACTGGCCTCTGCATTAACATCGGACCCCACATTAACACTGGACCCACATTAACACTGGCCCCACATTAACACTGGACCCCACATTAGCACTGGACCCACATTAACACTGGACCCCACATTAACACAGGACTCTACATTAACGTTGGACCCACATTAACACTGGACCCGCATTAATACTGGACTTTACATTAACACTGGACCCCACATTAACACTGTACCCCACATTAACACTGGACTCTACATTAACACTACACCCTACATTAACACTGGACCCACATTAACACTGGACCCCACATTAACACTGGACCCCACATTAACACTGGACTCTACATTAACACTACACCCCACATTAACACTGGACACACATTAACACTGGACCCCACATTAACACTGGACCCCACATTAACACTGGGCCCCACATTAACACTGCACCCCACATTAACACTGGACTCTACATTAACACCACACCCCACATTAACACTGGACACACATTAACATTGGACCCACATTAACACTGGACTCTACATTAACACTGGGCCCCACATTAACACTGCACCCCACATTAACACTGGATCCCACATTAACACTGCACCCCACATTAACACTGGACCCCACATTAACACTGGACTCTACATTAACACTGGGCCCCACATTAACACTGCACCCCACATTAACACTGGATCCCACATTAACACTGCACCCCACATTAACACTGGACCCCACATTAACACTGGACCCCACATTAACACTGGACCCCACATTAACACTGGGCCCCACATTAACACTGCACCCCACATTAACACTGGACTCTACATTAACACCACACCCACATTAACACTGGACCCCACATTAACACTGGACCCCACATTAACACTGGACTCTACATTAACACTACACCCCACATTAACACTGGACACACATTAACATTGGACCCCACATTAACACTGGACTCTACATTAACACTGGGCCCCACATTAACACTGCACCCCACATTAACACTGGATCCCACATTAACACTGCACCCCACATTAACACTGGATCCCACATTAACACTGGACCTTACAAAATCTCAAGAGTCTTATTTCGGCTTCGCGAGCCTTCAGCATTAACTCCATGAACATAAAACATTATCGCTCATTGCTAAGAATCAAAAGCCTAAATCTGACTATTTGCCTCAGGCATTAAGGCCAAATATTGTATTTATTATTGTTGTATATTGTTTCTATTTTAGTACAACAGAAATTGTAGTTTCATAATTGACATCTGTGTTGAAGAGGTTGCTATTTCACGTATCGGTCTTCTTAGCAATTGGACGTTTTGGCGGTACACCGGTGCGCGGTATTAAAATAAAGCAAAAAAATGTCCACAATAATTATTCTTGCGCGATTCGCAACCCCGGTGTGCGTCAACATCGTTTCTCGTAGACCCTGAGTTTACTTGATTAAACTTGGAATGGGACTGACTCCCCACCTCTGTCCCCCTTCCCTCCCCGAAGAAAATCGATCTGACGCACCCCGTACCGCACAACGCCACGGTCCTACACGTCCGCGCTGATTGTCTGTCCGAGCCGCCTATCCCGCCATGCACCACTCGCCTGTCGCGGAAGTTGTACACCACCCGTGGTTGGATCAATACAAAATATTTTACGGGAAAAAATCGTTACTCGTGCTGGCGAAGCGGTGGGAAGACGAATGTTACACGAGCGGACTGAACACGAAGAAGCTTCACGCTCTGTCGCCGTGCAGCAGCACCCAGCCACGATGACGATTGGCTGCTCCGTGTTCCGACGGCAAGGTTTGACTCCTCGTGCCCGAGACTTGGTCGGACGGTTCCTCGATTCATTTCCGGAAGAACAAAAAATGTCTTGGCGGACGTGGTGTCACCACCGCCACGTCCAAATGGTGACAGCAGCTGCTGAATCTAAGGGCAACTTTTGATGGAGAGTCTGCAGTTCGCTCAAGGGCAACAGCGACATCGTCAGACTGCTTGATGAAGAGCGGTGTGTTATGCTGCACCGATGTACCGCCAATACGTCACGTGACGACCTTTGGCAGCGCCCTCAACTCCTGCCACCCGGACGCAGGTGCCAATTCCCAGACTGTCCCGGCTGACCCGGACAGCCCGGGTCAGGCGGGGACAGGTGACCACCCTACCTGGGAGCGGCGGCCAACGCGCAGGAAGGCGCAGACGGGGTTGAAGGCGCCCGTGCCGCAGGTGTAGAGGTGCGTCTGGTTGTAGTGGTGCAGCACGCGGACGTGGTTCCCGCAGTCCTTCTGTGCACAGCAGCAATGCAACGTGGAGTCACACACAAGACAGAGGCAAGGAGCCCCCGTGTCGCCTTCACAGACTGTCAGAACAAGTGCTGTTAACGAGCAGCACCTATCAAGGCCGGATCGGTACACGAGGGGGTGGGTGGCCAGCACCACGCCTGGCCACCTTTGTCTCCCCAGGGGCGATGTTTACACATCACACCAGGTATTCATTTGAGGCTGAATCGACCTAGGGGAGGCCCATGACCAGTTCGGATCCTGGTGTTGGCCATGAGCAGGAATTAAACTTGGGTCACTGTGTTCTTCGCGCAGCACGCTAACCACTGCCCCACCACTCCCCAAATATTTCTCATACACAGATTTTGCATTAAATCAAATACATTTTGGTAAAATTGTAGTAATTAAAATCGAAATGTACTGCCATGGGTGAATGCATATTAACTTTTGAAGCACTGCATGCATGCTTGCCAATTAATCATTTAAAGGTGGTTTTGGAATGAAATTTACAAATATGTATCCCACAGAGTATACCCAGCCTAATGTGCGAGATATCATTATACAACTGCATACTCTATTCTTTACGTATCGATGTCCATAGCTTTCGCACTGGAACCTATAATTACTTTTTTATGTACTTAGGATTACTGTCTTCCACACAAGTTGAAATTTGAAGTTTCCAGACCGGGCAGGTGATCTGAACGTTTCCGTAACCAATGTTTCCATAGAACCTGGCTTCCAACCTGATGCATCCCTGGCATCATGATATATGCTCAAACATATTCGTGTTGAGAATAGGTTTTCCCTTTTTTTCTAGCAACAAAAGAGGTATTAAGATGTTAAAACACCAAACTGAAATCTTTTACAAGGAATCATGTCTGCATTAGCCACAATACTTGTGGTCAGAATGCAAAAAAACCTCCTCTGATAATATATGCATTGTCTTTGAAACTGATTGGTCCACACCAGAGACAGCTTTCTTTGGAGCCTCGTCTCAAAAGGTGTTAGACCAGAGGATGCCAAAAGGCGTACAGCACAAAGACAAGCATGATCAGGGTAATAAGAGCTCGCGGTGAGCAGCTACATGACATATTCCTGTTGGTTTGCACACGGATATATTCCAGGATAAAGGTAAACATTTGTCCACGTTGTGGTGTTGCAGAAAGTTTCGGCGGTAGATACTTTCAAGACAACACAGTTCGTTCAGTGCGTGAGCAAAATGATGCTCACTGCGCTGAGAGAGAAACGAATGGAACCCTCCGGTGTGGTCTGTGGAGGCCTGGAAGATACTGCCAGAACGATCCCACCAGGCACTGCCCGTGGTGGGGGCCGGATAATCAGGCTCCAAATCTGACACACGTGCACACCACTGCTACAGTGTTACATTTGTCTCGGTGTCTCAGGGACCTCCAGGGGGATGGAGTAATTCCCAACGCTCGTTTGAGCATTGATGTACTTCGATGGGCACTTTCTTCAACGGGTTCTGTTTTAGAGTCGGGGGAATGTTATTAATAACAATTTCAAGCAAACTCTGAAATGAAAATCGCACTAACAGGGTATGGCAGGCACCTTTTTTGTATTGTCTCACCAGCGACTAACGATGAGGGACAGCATGGTGTGTGCTTTGCGGGTTATTGTGTGGGCTCTCCGTACCGTCGCGTCCTTCCCAGCCAGCTGGCATTCCAGCATCTTCTCATCCGACGCCGGCCAAGAAATCTGAAGCAAAAATAGAATGGGAAAGATACCCGCTGTAGTCTCTTACAAGAAGCCTCCACACGCTGGTAAACATCAGCGACAGTGATGCGAAGATGATGCAAACTGTGAACCCAATGAAACGTGCATTGCTTTTGTTTTGAATTTTGTCCAAGTGGGAGAAGTCATTATTTTGGATTTGAAGCCCATTGGAACACGTGATATTAAACATGCACTATTTTATTTTACAATATCTATTTTACCAGTTAATAAGGCCCACTGAGCTACGTAGCTCATCTTCAGAAGCAATCTGGCCACAAATGATAGCTCAACGAAGTGGATTATCACGTGGACATTCATGGCAGACAAATACTCGAAACGTGCGTTGATTGTAAATGTGGAGGACTGGGAGAAAAATCCCACGCGACCACGGGGAGAGAGACATGCAAAGTCTAAATGCCGAGGTAATGTAAATTGAATGAAAAACCAAATATGCAGTTTCATTTATTTTCTGATAGTCAATGATAATGTTGAGATGATCACGCCGATGTACCTGGACACCAATGTTGAGACCAGATTCGAACCCAATACTGCGACGACGCTGGTATAGTCCTGACACGTACCGTGAGGTACCGTGAGGCACGGAGGCTTGCCAGAGCGGTCGAGATGAATACAACCACATCCGCGTTGTACAAAACACACATCAAAGGCTTCTCTTCTCAAAATTTCCCATCATTTTGCTCGTGTCAAAACAACAATCAAATCCTTGATTTAAAGCGGAGTGTAAATAGACTCAGACGGGTGCTTTTCAAGGGCAATAGCAACGCAAATATGAACAGGGTGAATTTACAAAGCGCCACCGTGACATGAAACACCGCGCGCACATAAACTGATTGTGGGTGGAGAAAAATAATCATTTGAGAACGATCGGACACCACGGCATTGGTGACGCCACCTTCGCATGCACTCGGCTGGGGGTGAACGGCACATCGTCAAGCCATCGCACATCCCCAGATAATTAACTTAGTGGTGGTCTGGGCAGCTCAGAGGCCACGCACACCGACCTGGTACCGTTGCAACTTCTTAGGACTGAATCTAGCCAATCGCCTGTGTTTCCGCACTTGATTTGGCTCAAACATGAGAGCAGTGAGAACGTTTCTAGCTGTCCTCCCATTTCATGACATTTGCACTCTTCGGTCTGGCGGATGGGAAAGTTCTGCCCCCTGTTGTGTAGACCAGAGGTCACTCGAAGAGACCTCGGTTGTGATTTCTGCATCCGTGGACCATCATCGAGCACCAGGAGGTTGCAAATCTCAGCAACCGCCATGTTCCTTTCAAAATATATATATAGTATCAGTGTTTGAACAGCTGATGTGCTGTGCAGATATCAACACCCATGACTGCAGTCAACTACTTACAAGTTGTTAAAAAAAAATTTGTGTGCCAAAATGTTCCTCTGCCCAACGGGGAAGTTCTCGTCTGTTGGCGGTGCTCACGTGAAAACCTGTTTGTCAAGCTGCGACGGGAAGGACGTTCTCAATCATCCACTCACGGACGTGGACGCCCGGATCACTCTAACCCGATGTGTGTTGAACTTTTTTCGCACCGTACGTAGCCAGCCATGTCAATCGGAGGTGTGGAGGAAGGACAAACTAAACACAAAATCAGTTCTCAGGAAATGAGTTTTCAATCTGGATGATTTCAAAGTGCACTGCTCCAGTGGCTTCCTAATATCGGAAGGAAGAGCGTTCCAGACGGCCGCAGGGGCGCATCTGGAATGGCACGATGCAGTTCGATGGCGAGCCAGAAGCTGCTGCTCCTGCGAGGATGACCGGAGTTTGCGTGATGGCTTACACTCCTTGACGAGATCAGCAATGTATTGTGGTTCATTTGTGGCAAGCACTCGGTGTGTAATGAGTGTGATAGCCCTAAGAGGGAGGGAGGGTGCGGGAATTCTGCTGTGCACTTGTACGATGCGACGGTGCAGCCCTGCATTTGGTTGTGCACCCGAAACGACTTGACCTGGCACGCACTGCACACCATTGTGGAGTTTTAATGTTGAGGAGAAACAAAACTAGTTCCAGTCGTGAACCGAGTGGTATTCTCTCCTATTTATATAAGACTAACTTAAATGCGAATAATTTAATGGGATTCAGCAGGATTGGATTTACTTGCGGTGACAAATATTATTGCTTTGGTACTTCAACATTAAGAGCAAAGCATCAGAATCTTTATTTAAACTGCAAACATCCCATGAGCTATGAAGCTCTTTTTCACAAATGTCCCGTCGAAAGTTACAACAGCAAACAATACAAACACCAATATGAGTGCAAAGTATAGGAACGCTAATATGAAAAAAATTAAATGTACAAGTATAAATTGCACAAGTACATCAATTCATGCCGATATTTCAACACCAAATGCAATCTTGGGCAAGGCAGCAAAACAAAAAGAGTCCCAGACCACACCAAGACAACACACAGTCCCTCGATAAAATTGCACGTTGCATTGAACTATCGATAGATACATGGAGGGTGGAAAACCTCTATTTATAAACCAGTGACTGTAGTCTGGTGTGGTTAGTGCACTGCACCTTGTACCCAGCTACTCTGGCCACAGCTAACACGCATGGCAGAGTTATATGTTCACTATCACACTTAGCACGCTTGGATACGTATGGTGCAAAGTAATTCAACATAGAGCTGGGCAGTATATGCACAAAGCGTCCACTCGACTCATGCATTTCCCGCTTGCTTACATACTCCAGCTACTTTCAATATTTCCCACCTTCGTGTCATGTATTTATACTTATTTTACAACTCAAAAGAACCACGGTCACCTTAAGAAATATGTATTTTATAACTAAGCACATTGGGGCACCGCGGTGGCGAGATGTTAACTACCTCGCCTGGTATGGCAGGAGGTCGTGGGTGCTATCCCGACCCTAACGCCAGCATATTTGGAGTTTGCATATCTCTCTCCCCGTGGTCACGTAGATTTTTCTCCGGGTCCTCCGGTTTTTCCCTCAACATTTAGAATCAACGTGCGTTTAGAGCGACGGTCGGGAACCTATGGCTCGCGAGCCATATATGGCTCTTCGAGTGACGGCATATGGCTCCCAGACAATTTTTGAGTTGAAAAAAAAAAATCTGTTTGGAACTGATTTTAAAATATTTGTGATATTGCTTAATAATACCGTGTCATTTTAAAGTAAACAGAAATTAGTTTTGAAGATAAATTTCACGGGTCACGCCTGCATGAAGCTCAACCTCACCACGTATGAACTACAAGGCCATCAGCAAAACCATGCAGCACCAGAAGTCGCATTAAAAGTAAGACATATTTAATTTATTATACGTTAAAAATTACTATATGGCTCTCAATGAAATATATTTAGAAATATTGGGCTTTTATGGCTCTCCCAGTCAAAAAGGTTCCCGACCCCTGGTTTAGAGTATTTGGCTGCTGTAAATTTCAACATGATAAGCCACTTCGTTGAGCTCTCATTTGTGGCCAGGTCGCTTCTGAAAGAAAGAGCTACACAGCTCTGGCAAAACAATATATATTCTTTAATAGTTTGTAGTATTTGTTTCTGACTTTGCTGCACTGCAGCATTCACAATGCGACGTGTATTTATAAACCTCTCGTTTGCCACATTGAGCGCCGGGCGCGTTGTCTCCCCCATCTGAGAAGCCTCTGGTGGCTGCACTCTGCCAGCAGCGGCTTTGATTTCACGTTCCCTGAAACGCCGAGCACAATCACCACGCATGACAGCCCTCTTGGGGCCAATCGGCTATTATTAAGGCCATGACATATGTCAACGGGCAGCCAATTAGTGGCACGTTGACAGGACCTTGGGTGCCATTTTCTCTGCCATGTTTAACAAGCCGACCCAAACAGGGCTTATCGTGGGATGCTATTTAAAATGTGTATGCTGGATTTGTAACACTACGGTTTATATATAACGTTCAACGAAAATATCCCCGTGAGGGCATTCATCACCAACGTGTCATGTCTTCCTCTCTTGCCGCTTGTAAAATATGTTTTGTAATTAACCCTATTTTTAAAATTACACGGGTTGCTGTAATTGCAAAAAAACAAAGCAATGCATAACCAGAAAGAGAGAACAGCAACTTGACATCATGGAAGAGGACAGGATACCCACCCACACTTTACCCCACCACACAATACCCTTCCAATCGACGAACTATGCGATGTCCCCATTTAAACGGCTCAGTGGGCAGAGGCGGGGGGGGGTTAAGAAACTTGCGCCAAAGAGTGCGTCGAGAGACACGTCTCATTTCGCCACGAGTATTCAAGAGGTAGAGCAGAAATTGCGGTTTCACGCCTGGATATGATGCCTCCTCGTTCGATCGCTAAATCAGCAGGTTCGTGCACCCACCTTCGTGTGACCACGGGTGATGTTGTCAAGGGCCAGGGAGTACAGGACATCCTGGCCACCCACAAACAAGCGACCCCGTTCCTCATCCAGCAGTAGAGTGCGGTGGTCACTTGAGTTGAGGTCACGCAGGGTCACAGAGCTGTTGGAGGCCTGCAAGTCTGGGTCGGGGCGGGGTGGAGCAAACAAGAGGTGTGGGGGGGAACGTTATACATCGGCGGCTCGATAAAAGCAAGCTGCTTGACCGCCACGTAAATGTGCGTGTTGAACTTCGTTTGCACCGTACGTAGCCAACTGCGCGTATTTGGAGGTGCGAAAAAAAATACGCAGAGGTGCAGCATTACGAATACAGAACACAGGTGGGGTCAATTGATACTGCACAGAGAATTATATTGCGGATCGCGAAACACAACAAAGAAGGGATGGGTTTTTGTTTGAACATTTTGGGGATTTACTGAGTTTGAAGCCCAATGTCAGACCTATTTTTCAGATGTTGTTTTACTATAACTTACACTTTCAGTGATTACAAACTATAACTTACACTCCGTAATAACTGAACGTGTTTTTCCTGCTGACAAAAGTGACGTCTCCCGATGCCGTTTGAGACCACGTGGCCGGGGGTGGAGTGGCGCACGTGTTGTGACGTCATGTGTTGACTGGCATAAACACATTCCTGCGGAGGGAGCTGGTAGAAACGTTGGGTTGCTCGGTCAATGGCCAGGGTCAACGGCGGCGTGGTGTATTCCGCAACTATGGCCGACTGTGAGGGCGGGCACAAGCCGGCGTGAGTAGGTTAAACGTTGAGTTTTATAAGGGCACCACGGGGTGACCAGCCCCTCCCCACTCAGCCCAACCCCTCCCACCCCCCACCCAGCCCCACCCAGGCCCTCCCCACCCTCCCCACCCAGCCCCTCCCCACCCTCCCCTCCCCACCCAGCCCCACCCTCCCCACCCAGCCCCTCCCACCCTCCCCACCCAGCCCCTCCCTGCACGACGGACGGACGGACACAATAATCCCCTGTGGGCTGGTGGAACCAGTGGGTTCCTACCAGTATTACCACCCCACAATATTGAGCATTGCACGCACTGAATTGTCAATTGGCAGTGACGCAAAGATGGCATTTGAAGTAAGTATTTTTACACATTCGTTCTCTTTTACTTAACATTACGTTGGTGTGTGGATGAGTTGTTGTTATCCCCCCCAAACACCCCAGCGAGCAAGCTCAGCCATGCACGGAGAATTGTGTGACATTCGTGACCCTCGCCTTGCATTCCCACGTCATTCCTAAAAAAACGTCCGAAGTTCTCTCTTCCAAAGAGCATCATTACATCAGCGCCACGTTTGGGCGGGGGGGGCAGGAGGGGCTGGGGCACATCCTCCCAGCTGCGCACGCACGGCGCATTCCCGCTGGCGGGGAGTGACAGGTAAATGGAGACGCGGGGCCGCACTCAGACGCGCGCAGGTGGCAGTGTCGCCAGGTAACACAGCGCGTGCGTGTGTCTGTGTGTGTGTGTATGTGCGTGTGTCTGTGTGTGTCTGTGTGTGTGTGTCTGTGTGTGTATGTGCGTGTGTCTGTGTGTGTCTGTGTGTGTGTGCGTGTGTCTGTGTGTGTGTCTGTGTGTGTCTGTGTGTGTGTCTGTGTGTGTCTGTGCGTGTGTCTGTGTGTGTATGTGCGTGTGTCTGTGCGTGTGTCTGTGCGTGTGTGTGTCTGTGTATGTGTGTGTGTCTGTGTGTGTGTATGTATGTGAGTGTCTGTGTGTGTCTGTGTGTGTGTGTCTGTGCCTGTGTGTGTCTGTGTGTGTATGTGCGTGTGTCTGTGTGTGTGTCCGTGTGTCGGTGTGTGTGTGTCTGTGTGTGTGTGTATGTGTGTGTCTGTGTGTGTGTCTGTGTGTGTGTGTTAGGCTGGCCTGCCTACGATCCATCCTGGGTTTAACCAGGCTGGATTGTGTGAGGAGCTCACAAATCCTTGAAAGATCTGGACAAAGTCCCATCGGTGAGCTCCTCCGGCAGGCAAGGCTGCGTTGGCTGGGTCATGTAGCCCGCATGCCCAGCCACCGCATGCCTAAACAGCTTTTGTTCGGCCGGATCGAGGGGGCTAAACGGGCGCGGCACGGGCTAGAGAAGAGATGGAGTGATGTGGTACAGGAGGACGTGGAGCTGAGTGGACTTGCCGATGACTGGTACCAGCGGTGTCAAGATCGGCCTCTGTGGAGGAGGCTCGTGAAGGACGCTACTGGGCAGTTGGAGGCAGTCGCCCTCCAACAACAACGGAGGGCGGAGGAGCGATGCTCACAACAACGAGCGGAGCGCCGGGTGGTTAAAGCACAGCAAGTTGGTACAGTAGGGGGCACAGGTGGAGCATCAGCCAGTCATCTCGGTCATCTCGGTCAGTTGACCCGTGGCACCTGCTGGGTCTGCCCCGTGACCTCCTGCCAGCGGGCGTTCGACACTTCACGTGGCCTCAAGGTGCACTTGGCCTGGCACAAGCGTCGTGGTGACGTCACCGCCACTTAGTAGCGAATGGCGGTTGTTGTTGTTGTGTGTCTTAGTGGCGAATGGCGGTTGTTGTTGTGTGTCTGTGTGTGTGTGAACCCCTCCTCCAGTCCCTGCAGGGAGCGGTGGCGTAATGGTGAGCGCTCAGTGTCGCTGCAAACCCGGCGACCCGAGTTCGATTCCCGCTCACGGCCAACACCAGTGACGATTATTTGGTCCTGGGCCTCCCCTAGGTCGACTCAGCCTCAAATGGTACGACGGGGCGTGGTTCTGGCCACCCACCCCCTCGTGTGCCACAGTGGCGGCCCTCATAGGTGCTACTCGCTAACAGCACTTGCCCCAAATAATCTGTTAAGGCTACACGGGGGATCTTTGTCTTTGTGTGAACCCCTAGCGCAGCCCGGAGCGTTCTCTCTCTACCCCCCCCCCCCCCCCCCTGGGAATCGCGGGGTACATTTACACGCATGGCGAGCCGCGGGGATTAGCGGCGCGGCTAAATAAACAAAAAGGGATTTAAAAAACGGAGGGGGGGGGGGTAACTTCCCAAAAGGGGCAACAATTTGGGATGGGTAATTAGCTTCCAAGCTCACTCCAGTGTGAGGGTGTTTGAGATGTTTCTAAACTGAACGTGAAAAGACGATCCCAGCGGTGTACGAATGTCGAGCATGTTTAAAATAAAAACGAGAAATGGGGCGGAGATTGTCGTGATTTTAAGAGACGAGCAGACATCCACGACCTTTAATAGCCTATCGCTCGCTGCTGGGATGAAGGCCCTCGCTGCGAGTCGTGGGGTCGTTTGACTTTGCTTCACCGACGCCGATCAGCGCGGGTTGGAGAACGGGTGGCCCGGGACCGGCTCAGATGTCCCTTTGGCAGCGGCCGGGAATTGGCCGCGCTGTGCGCCAACCACTGCGCCTCATTAATAATATGAACAATGAATGAAATAACCCCCCATGAGAACATACTGCAATAAAGCAATGGTATTGTCGTTTCCACGATACCGTTAGAAATACGCTGCTTATATGTGAGTACTAAACAAATCAACAACATTCCAACTTTATTGATTAATTCCCTAAATCTTATTGCCGTTATCTCTGTTTAAGATATATACAGTATTTTAAAGTAGACTTGAGGTATTATTACCAAATATATATTTTGTACTTTCCAATGTAATAATCCAATTTAATACCAGCCGTAATACCAGTTGACGTCTCACCTTGTATCCTCTCCCTTATCCATGACCACACGCTTCAGAGCCTCAATTATCCTTCAGTGTTCCTCAATTATTTCGCTACCCCCACAATGTGGTGAGAGAAGGGAAGGGGAGCCATTTGTAAATCCGAGACCAACCACAAGATAATAACATTCATTATAATTTATTCTGTACTGCAAGTCTGCAAAATTGGTTCTGAACACATCTGTTCCATGCGAATGCTTCAAATGTTATATTTTACTCGTGCTTTTTAAAATAACACAACTTAATGTTTACAAACTACTTCGGCACCATGGGTGGCTATGAGATGTTAATTACCTCGCCTGGTATGCAGGAGGTTGTGTGTTCGATCCCGACCCTGACGCCTGCTGCTGTATATTGGGAGTTTGCATGTATCTCTCCCCGTGGTCGTGAGGATTTTGCTTTCTGTCCTTCGGGTTTTCCCTCCACATTTAGCATCAACAACACGCGTTCAGAGTATTTGGCTGCTTTACATTTCCACGTGATGAGCCACTTAGTTGAGCTCTCATTTGTGGCCAGGTGGTCTTTACCTGGTTAAAAAAATTGCTTTGTCTTCAGTTTAGTTTTACTTCATGCGCGAGAACAATCGTGCAGGCTTAGCTCTCCCGGCATTGCTCCTCCGGCATTGCTCCTCCGTGCGCTGGCGCCGTCCACCGATTGGCCTGCTGCCTGCGCGAGAGCCCCCCCCAACGAGGGGGACGCGGGCAGCCCGCGCGGCTCCTCGTCCACAGCCCCAGCACCCAGAACCAGTTCGACCGCCCCCGAAAAACTCAACACTGGTCACGTGACCTGGAACTTTTACATTGGCGGTTCGGATTTGTGTTTGTCATATGCATCATGAAAACAAGACCTCACGGCACGACAGGACTCCCACCCCCTTTGTGTGCTGCAGCGCTGTGGTGTGTTTACCTGTGGTGTGTTTACCTGTGCCGCACTGAACTACCTTCACATCGTTTGAGCACGGCCCACGTTTTTTGGTAAAGTATGTTTTTGTTATTATATCCTCGTTTTGCACGCACCAAACAGCTCTTCCGAACAGAGGCAGTGATTGTAAATCGTGGCATTCCGAAAATAAAACTCGCCTTTGAAAAGAGGCGTTATGTTCGCCCGATTAGTGATGACAGAGTCACACGTTCACCAGAAAGTATATGGTGCAAAACTTGGACTGTGTCCAAAACAAAATAAGCCTCGTAAATTGGTTTATACGGCAATTAGTACAACGTGCATTACGTGAAATCATGAGTCACCGTCAGCCAACTGGTCTATACAAATAACAAGGTGACCATCTACTCAGACCATTGATGCTTGAACAAGTCTAAACTAAACTCTCCATATATTTTGTTTTACCAGGTAAGGTCCACTGAGCTGCATAGCTCTTTTTCAGAAGCGACCTGGCTATCACAAATGAGAGCTCAACGAAGTGGCTTATCACG